GGAAGTGGAGGCAGGAGAATCACTTGAGCCCAGGAGTTGGAAGTTTCTGTGAGCTGTGATGCCACAGCACTCTACCCAGGGCGACAGCTTGAGGCTGTGTTTCAAAAAAAAAAAAAAAAGCGTTTATTTGATCAACCTTTTTTTTATTAAGTCATATACACATAGATCATGAATACATTTATCATAAGACTGAAATTTTATATCAATCATGTAAATGAAAAAGAAATCTTAGGTTGAGCATGGTGGTTTCACACCTGTAATCCTAGCCCTTTGGGAGGCCGAGGCAGGAGGATTGTTTGGGGTCAGGGATCTAAGACAAGTTTGGATAACATAGTGAGACCCTCACTTCTACAAAAAAATTAAAAATTAGCTGGGTGTGGTAGAGTGTGCCTGCAATATTAGCTACTTAGGAGGCTGAGATGGGAAGATCACCTGAGCAATAAAGTTCAGGGTTACAGTAAGCCGTGATCACACCACTGCACTCCAGCCTAGAACAACAGAACAAGAACCTATCTCAAAAAGCAAACAAATAAAAAAGCAAATTTGAGAAGAAAATTCAATGTTACCTCCCCAAATTAGAAGGTTAATGTATTAAACACAATGAAAAGGAAGACAATATTAGGACATTCTAGTTATGTACAGTTGCTGATCAAGTTTCTGAGACTGACCAGCTACTAACTTATTACAGAGGACAAATAGCCAGAGTTAGAGGCATGTTCTATTATTACTTTTTTGTTTTGGCCAGGGCTGGGTTTGAACTCACCACCTCTGGCATATGGGGCCGGCACCCTACTCCTTGAGCCACAGGTGCCACCCTAGAGGTGTGTTCTAGGGTCTCCCTCTAATTTGAAAAGCTCTCCTTCTTGTGATATAAGAAACTAAACCAATTTAAAAAGGTAAGATTTTTCTGATGCTACGATCAAGGCTGTGTCACCACCTCACATAACACCTGCTGTGGCACACCTCACTCTGATCCTTAAGAATAAAACCCTGCATACCAGACACAGTGGCTCATGCTTATTATCCTAGCACTCTGGGAGGACGAGTTGGGTGGATAGCTTGAGCTCACGAGCTCAAGACGAGCCTGAGCAAAAATTGAGACCCTGTCTCTACTAAGCATAGAAAAACTGAAGCAAGAGGATTGCTTGAGCCCAAGAGTTGGAATTTGCTGTGAGCAATGATGCCACAGCACTCTACCCAGGGTGATAGCTTGAAACTCTGTCTCAAAAATAAATTAATTAATTAAATAATAAAACCCTGCATGGTAAGAATTAGGCCCACACAGATAACTGAGGACTCTGAGACTGAGGGCTGAGAATTCCTGCCCAGGATCACACAAAGAATGAACAAAAAAGTCACAATTTAAACCTAGACCCATCAGGCTTCCAAGTAACTGCTGTTCTCACTAGGTCATAATGAGAAATTAAGAGGGATGTTTGCATGGGGTCTTCAGAATGGAAAGGCCCTCAGGGTCAGAGAGAAGATGACGCTTTGGGGAAAATTCTAAGGAAATCTAAGAGGAACAGGTCAAAGTGTGGAATTGGGGCGCACCTAGGATGCCTGTTTGCAGGAGCCAAGGAAGCCTGTTTTCCTCATAGGGACAGGGTGTGGGTCAGAGTGTGTATTTCCTTCATTATTTTCTGATCCCTACACTCAAGGGTAGGGATTTCCTTCCCTTAGGGCTGGTCTACAGTGGAAGGAAAGAAGAATGTTATAATGAGTCTGCCTCTTGTACCAGCCTGGTAAACCCTGAGTTATCATACACTGGGGCATCTCAGCAGCTGGTCAATGTGCATTTTTTGAAGCCCTACTATGTTTCAGGACCTATGCAGGTGCCAGGGATGCTGAGATGTGGCTCCGGATGTCACAGGCTGATGGCACTGTGTGTCTCCTATGGCACAAGGTGCATAAACTTTTACAAAGTCTGTTAAGATTTTACAACCAGGCTCAGCGCCTGTGGCTCAAGTGGCTAAGGCGCCAGCCACATACACCTAAGCTGGTGGCTTGGAATCCAGCCTGGGCCACAACAACAATGACGGCTACAACCAACAAATAGCTGGGCATTGTGGCAGGCGCCTGTAGTCCCACCTACTTGGGAGGCTGAGGCAGGAGACTCACTTGAGCCCAGGAGTTGGAGGTTTCTGTGAGCTGTGATGCCACCACAACACTCTATCCAGTGTGACAGTTTGAGGCTCTGTCTCAAAAAAAATAAGATTTTACAACCAGAGGTCAGCTGTGGTAGCTCACACTATAATCCTAGCACTCTGGGAGGCTGAGGTGGGTGGATTGCTTGAGCAAGAGCAAGACCTGTCACTACCAAAAATCACTGGGCTCCATGGCAAGTTCCTATAGTCCCACCTACTTGGGAGGCTGAGGCAAGAGGGTCTCTTGAGCCCCAAAATTTGAGGTTGCTATGCTCTAATGCCATGGCAGTCTACTGAGGGTGACAAAGTGAGACTCTCTCAAAAAAAAGATTTTACAACCAAATGGTTTCTGTGTTAATTTATGTCACTCAAGGCTCAAATTTATGTCATTGGGGATGGTTCCTGATTGCCTTACTCCAAGATGACACCATCAAGGGACTCCTGATGACCCCTTGGAGCCCTCCTTAAAGCTTCCAGAGTGCTAGGATTACAGTGTGAGCCACCACAGCTGACCTCTGGTTGTAACACCAGGTGGCCCAAGTCCTCCCTATGGCTAGTGCCTTCTGTTCTGGGTTAACCTAGGAAATACAGCACAGCTGTCATAGAAACAGTGAGATTGAGATGGTTCAGGACAAATGATGAAGACAGAAAGATCTGTGGGACGTCCTGGAGCCTAGGAAGGGCCTGGCGCATGAGGAGGTGAGAGTAGCCTGAGATGGTTCAGGGAAATCTCTGCCAGAAACACCAGAAGGGCTGAGAGAATTGCTGGAGCCACACACAGTCTAGCGTGGGGGCAGTTCTTGCAGGAGCCTCAGGTGGTCCCAGGAGTCAGGGCAGGGCATTCATGTGGACTCTGGGCAGATACTTACACCTTGTGATGATTCTCTCACAGTGCTGTGTCCTGACCAAAGAAACTTAACAAAACAAGGTGAGTGTTTCTTCAATTAAACCCTCCTTGAGGCCCAGTGAGGTGGCTCAAACCTGTAATCCCAACACTCTAGGGGGCCGAGGCTGGTGGATTGCTTGAACTCAGAAGTTACAGACCAGGTTGAGCAAAAGTGAGACCCCATCTCTACTAAAAGTGGAAAAACTACCCAGGTGTTTGTGGCAGGTACTTGTGGTCTCAGCTACTCTAGAGGCTGAGGCAAGAGGATCACTTACGGCCAGGAGTTTAAGGTTACTGTGAGCTATGATGCCATGGTAGTCTATCCAGGGCCATTGAGTGAAATTTTGTCTCAAAAAAACAAAACCCTCCTTGATGCTTCAGCCCAAATTCTCTGGTCCCCCTTTCCCTTCCCTTTCTTTAAATGGGCTTCCTGAGAGCAGGTGAGTGAGTTAGACTCAGCCCTGGGCTCTGCATCCTTCCTGGGTCACTGCCCAAGCCCTCTCTCACTGTCTGGCCCAGCTCAGTGCTATCTGCCCAGAGCAATGTGACCCTGCGATGCTGGACTCCTGAAATGGGTGTGGACTTCATTCTCAGACAAGGAGAAACTAATCTGTCGGTCCTGCAGTCACGTGAGTCTACAGAGGGCCTCGCTGAATTTCACCTCAATGATCTCAAAGGCAGCCAGGCTGGAGAGTACACCTGTGAATACTACAGAAAAGGGTCGCCTGACATAAGTTCCCAGCGCAGTGACGTCCTTCTGCTGTTGGTTACAGGTAAAGAGGGGCGCCTTAGAATGACATATGGTGATCCTTGGAAGAAATAAGAGGATGGACAAAAAGAGTCCCATCTCCAGAGTAATTGGGGGCGGGGGAAGGACAGAGACAGGAACAGAATTGAATAGCTTGGTTTCATCCAAGACTCATAGGAGGAGGAAAAATCTCTTTCCTGGAGCCAGAGAGAACAGAGGAAGAGATCAGAGGTCTGTAACCTCCACACTGCACAGGGACCTCCTGCAGGGAGTACCAGGGTAAGTGGGGGACGGGAAGCTTCTACTCATGACCTCAGAGCTTAACTTCTTTCACAGGATATTTACCTAAACCTTCCCTCAAAATCCACCAAAATCATAAAGTATCTGCAAGAGGAAACTTGACTTTTCAGTGCCAGAAGCTGGACCCTCTTGTTCAGCCTGTGATGTTCGCTCTGCTGAAGGCGGGAACTTCCAACCCCCTCCAGCTGAGGGGGCCAGAAGAGAATGGGGTTGAGTTCTCCCTCCAGAACTTGACAGTAGGTGACACTGGCAGCTACAGCTGTGTGTACTACCAGTCAAGTCCGCCTTTCCTGGCCTCGCAGCCAAGCAATCATCTTGAGATCTGGGTGACAGGTAAGGTTTTGCATGATTTAGGGAAAGTGTTTCTTTCTTTCTTTTTTTTAATGGGAGAGCATTAGTTCAGTTACTCTCTGAACCTCAGTTCTCCAAACTTTCCCGGTCATCTGTTTCTAAATCTTTCCTTCCACAATTTCTACGTTTACCTTCCTTGCTGTACATCCTGGAAAATTTCTCATGTCATTCTTCAAAATTATCAATTCTCCGTCAGCAGAATCCCTTCAACTATTCTCTGCACCTCTTAAAGTTTTGGCTCATCTTAGCAGTAGTGATTTTTATTCCCAACAACTCTTTCTTAGTCTCAGGATATGATATCTTCACAACCTCCTGCTTCTGTGCCATAGTGGTGCCGTCTCCTCATGTCTTGTGGCACTTACTGCTAGAATCTTCCTCCCAAATTACCTTCTGTTTCCTGCCAGAATTCTCTGCCAATGTATGCAAGACACTCTACTTTCTCAGCTTGGTAAATCCACATTGCTGGTCATTGATTCGTCCTGTATGGTTAGTAACTATTCTGTAATTAGAATGCAAACCTCCAACTCTTTTTATTTATTTCATTTAATTTTTTCTTGAGAAAAAAGTCTCACTTTTTCACCCTCTGTAGAGTGCTGTCGGGTCATAGCTCACAGCAACCTCAAACTCTTGGGCTCAAGTGATTTTCTTGCCTCAGCCTCCTGAGTAGCTGGGACTACGGCCCCCCCCCCCGCAACACCTGACTATTTTTAGAGACAGGGTGTCACTCTGGCTCAGGCTGGTCTTGAACTCGTGGGCTCGAGCAATCCACCTGCTTCAGCCTCCCAGAGTGCTAGGACTACAGGTGTAAGCCACCACGCTCAACTTCGAACTCTTTTTACAGCTTGTTGCATGCAAGAAATTATATCTCGTACTGTGGAGAGGTTGCTGGTCCAGCCATGGAACTTCAGTGCTCTGGGGAGTGCCTTAGACCTTCTGTGTTGCTCCCAAGCCTAATTCCAAGTATATAGAGGGAAAACGGGAAAAGGAAATGTGGGAAGGTGGAAGGGAGATTAGATAGGATAGAGCATAGGGTTAAAAGTGCTCCGCATTAGGGACAGAATAATCTGGGGAAAAGCGAAGAATCACTCCTGGCCATGAGTACTGAAAACAATAACTGCTAGACACAGCATACTGCCCCAACCCTAAGTCATATGTTAGCAGTGAGGAGAGAATGGAGTGCAGTAAACAGGATGTGTTGGGAGTTTAATCACACAGCTAAGGGAAAATTATTTGTTTTTTAATCCTGACTCTCTTTAGTACTTTCCACTGTATTGTATTTCCTCATGTCTGAGACTTTAATAAAAGCCAGTGAGGAACATTGGAGGGGGGGTGAATTGCACCTTTGTTTCTCCTTGGGGAGTGCTTGCTGGTGTTGGCCTTCCTGGGTCCCTCAGTTGATTGCAAATGGACCGAGTAGGTGTTATTCACTTGAGTCCTCAAGTCACACCAACAGGAGATGAAGTGCCATTAAATGAGAGAATAGAGATGAGGGCAAAGTGAACATCAAAGGAAAGATGACAGACAAGCCAATCAACTCTCACAAAACCCCATGTTTTGTTTTCAGTGATTAAAACTTCAATGAAGGGACAGCTGACCACTGACCAGAAATTCAAGTGGGCATGTGAGAGTCAGACATGGAAGATCAGCTGAGAAGGGGGGGTTATCTTTTGTGTTCAATGCTCAGCCCTTCTCTCTTTCCTTTTCTCCAGGCGATTACACCACAGGGAACCTCATCCGTTTGGGTCTGGCTGCCCTAATCATGGTCACTATGGGAGCTTTCCTGGTTGAAGCCTGGCACAGTCAGAAGGAGTCTCCAAATACATCGGCATAAAGGAACTGAGAGCATCGCTTTTCTTTTGATTTTTAATTATTGTGGTTACATAGCTGTATATCTTTATAGAATATGTGTGATGTTTAGACACAGATATACAACACAAATTAATCAACCCCCCGAACTCAATCAGGGTAATGGGAGTATCCATCACCTTGGGCATTTAACATTTCTTTGTGTTAGGAAATGTTTCAATTCCACTTTATTATTTATTTTAAAGTCTATCCTAACTTACTATTGATTATAGTCATTTTGTTGTGCTGTCAAACATTGTTTATCCTATTTAATTATCTAATTATATTTTTGCACCCATTAACTATTCTCACTTTATCCCCTCCTTCCTCACTACCCTTCCCAGACTCTGGTAACCATCATTCTACTCTCCGTCTCTAAAAGATCAATTTTTTTTTTTGAGACACAGTCTTACTGTGTCACCCTGGATAGAGTGCTATGGTATCACAGCTCACAGCAACCTCCAACTCCTGGGCTTAAGCGATTCTCTTGCCTCAGCCTCCCAAGTAGCTGGAACTACAGGCACCTGCCACAATGCCTGGCTATTTTTTGGTTGTAGTTGTCACTGTTGTTTGGCAGGCCTGGACTAGATTTGAACCCACCAGCTCTGGTGTATGTGGCTGGTGATCTAGCCTCTGAGCTACAGGTGCCGAGCCTATGAGATCAATTTTTTAAAAATATTTAGCTGCCACATATGAGTGAGAACATGTGAGAATTTTCTTTCTGCACTTGGCTCATTTCACTGAACATAATGTTCTCTAGTTCCATCCATGTTGTTGCAAAATGGCAGATTCTATTCTTTTTGTGCTGTATAATATCCTGTTGTGTACATGAGCCCCGATTTCTTTATTCAGTTCTCCGCAGGTGAACACTTATGTGGATTGAATGTCTTGGCTGTCGTGAAGGTGAGCACTTCTCTTTCCCGTGGCAGCTATAGTGAGGTGGATTTCTATAAACAACAGACTCTACCTTGGGGACTTCCTGTGTTTCTCAACATGGGCACAAATGGCACTTGAGGAAGGATCTTTACTACATGAGACCATCAGTTCAACTTAGGAACTTTGAACACATATTTTGCCTTCCCTTTAAACATCAGTTAAAAACCCAATCATGTTGGAACAAGAAAAATAGCAACTCAGACATCCCTAGATGGGGGGCCGGAAGTTGGGGCAGCACTCCACTTGGTCAAGGACCTGTCTTTGGAGGCAGGAGAAACAGTATTGCTCCCCTCCCTCCTTCCCTTGCCCCCAGATCCGTCCCCTCTAACAAGAGATCTCACAGCCCCCAGGGAGTGATGAGTTAGACTGGCTGACCCTTGTCACTTTCATGTGTAACCTGCATTCCCAGTTCCAGGACAGGTGACAGCTTTCTTCATCCTGTACTTCTCGCCTGGGACAGAGGGAAGGACTGGACACAAGACCACTGTGATATGTTTTTGTGCACTTGAATAAATACTAAAAACTTCAGAGTTGGCCTTGATAGCAGGACCAATCTCAGCTGTGGGAACTCTTCCTGCATTTGAAACTGGAGGAAATGTTGCTTCCTACATAATATTTATGTTGTTTCCCCTCCATTCTCCCTACTTTGTGATTCTGGACAAGCTATTAGTCAAATATTGGAATTTATGCAATTATCATACACATGTTGTGAATTTTATTTCACATTTTTCTAATGTTTAAATAGTTTGGGGAGAATTCCAGTTCATCATGTGGCATCTATTTGCTCTCAAGTGATACCCAGTATTTTCAGTACAGGTATAAATTGTCATCACTCAAATTTACATTCACTTATTTATTTTCAATCAGCTATTTTCAGTGATTGAATCAACCTGAGTGTCCATCAGCCGATGAAAGGATAAAGAAAATGTGCTCGAAGTCTAGAATGGAATATTAGTTACCCATAAAGAAGGATGAAATCTTGTCATTTACAGCAACATGATGGAACCAGAGGTCGTTATTTAGACTAAGTGACATAAGCCAAGGACTGAAAGACAAATATCATACAGTCTTACTCATATGTGGGAGATTAAAAAGTGGATCTCATGAAGATAGAGAATAGGCTGGTGGTTACGAGGGGGCCAGGAAGGGTAGGGAAGCTGTGGGGGGTGGGGGCAAGAAGAGAAGCTGATTAATGGGTACAAATACATGTGTTTCTCAGATTCACAGAAGTTGCTAAAGTGGCCTAGAGAAGTCTCTCGAAACTTCACCCAGTTTATCCTAATTGTCGCATCATACTTCCGTGGCATTTATCCCAGAGAAATCAAATTTTATATTCACATAAAACTCATACGAACTGTTCATATTTGCTTTATTTATCATAGCCAAACACTGGAAACATCCAAAATATCCTTCTACAGGATGATACATCTATACTGTGCAATGCTACTAAGTAAAAGGAAATAAAAAGTAACAAGCTATTCATAAACACAACAACCTCGATGGATTTCAAGGGCATTTGACTTAGTGAAAAAAAAAATCCAATCTTTTGGGGTGGTGCCTGTGGCTCAAGGAGCAGGGCACCAGCCCCATATGCCAGAGGTGGCGGGTTCAAAACTGGCCCCAGTCAAAAAAAAAAAACTGCAACAACAAAAAAATCCAATCTCAAAAGCTCACATGCTTTCTGATCCCATTATTATAATAGTCTCCAAAGAGACAAAATTTTAGAGATAGAGAACAAATTAGTGGGAACCAACCAGGACTGAGGAACGCTACTGAGAAGAGAGGTGCATGTGACTATAGATGTTTATTGTGAGGGAAGTCTTCGCGGGGATGGTCCAGCCCAGCAGGTTGACTGTGCTGAAGGTCACCAAGATCCACACATGTGATGAAACAACACAGGCCGGTGCGCACACATTGTGTTGCAACACCAGGAGTGTTGGCCTCCTGGTCTTGACATTGTGATGGAAGTATAATAACGTGACCACCAGAAGAAATTGGGTGAAGGATACAAGGAACCTCTCTGTACTACTTTTACAACCCCTGTGAAATCTACAGTGATCTCATAATAAAAAGTTTAAAAATGGAATCTGATTGAAAAGGAGAAGCACAGTCTCAAAGAGACATAGACAGTCAAGCATTAGGGAATGGGAACATTACTAAACGTGTTCCATGAGCTGGCAAGGAGAAGAGATTGAGCAGCCAGAGATTATGGTAGAGAAACCAACAAGAAGTTATTTGGTATTCCTCACCAGATTGGCCATAAATCCAGAGCTCTGGGCATTTTTTTTTTTTTTTTTGAGACTGAGTCTCATTCTGCCACCTTCAGTAGAGTGTCATGGCATCATAGCTCATAGAAACCTCAAATTCTTGGGCTCAAGGGTTCCTCTTGCCTCAACCTCTCCAGTAGCTGGGACTACAGGTGCCCACCACAATTCTCAGGTAGTTTTTCTATTTTTAGTAGAGACAAGGTCTCGCTCTTGCTCAGGTTGGTCTGGAACTCCGGAGCTCAAGCCATTTACCCATCTCGGCCTCCTCAAGTGCTGGGATTACAGGCATGAGCCACCTTGCCCAGCAGCTCTGTGCTTTTAGACCACTCTGGATCAGACAACAGCCAAAAAGGTCTATTCCTACAGGAGGCATCAGGTTTACTGATTGGAGGGAGAGATAGAAAAATCTTCTGCTTGCCTGAGCATACCAGGAGCAGCCACGCTGAGAGGGCCAACCACAGACACACAGCCCAGGAGAAGCCCCAGGATCCTCTTGTGCACTGAAGGATGCAGAGAACAAAACCACACACTGCCTGATGTCCTGACCTCAGATTTAACAGCCACAAAGGGGAGAACCCAACCATAATGATGTGAGAAGAAACAAGACCCAGTAATCTAACACAACAAAAGGAAATAGTTAAAAGAAGGATGTACGTCTAACAGAATCGTGTATATTATGACCAGAACTTAATTTTGATAAGCATATTCTCAGAGGTATAAGAGAGGAAATAATTATTCCAAAGTAAGAATGAGTATGTATGGAAAAGAGGTATATTGTTATCTAGAAACCACAACAGATTTTAAAAATGGAAATATAACTTCCTGTGACTGGTGTGTTTCACTTAGCATGATGTACTCTGGGTTCATCCATGTTGCTGCAAATAACATGATTTTCCTCTTTTTAAAGGCTGATAGTATTCCTTTGTGTATACATATCACATCTTCGTTCTTTTCACTGATGCGTATTAGATGTACATAGTTTTGGAGCACATATGATAGTTGAATACATTCATATAATTTGTAAAGATCAAATCTGTGTGTTTGGGACATTTGTTGCCTTAAATATTTGTCTTTTCTTGATGCTAGACTTATGTGAATTCTTCTCCTTTAGCGTACATATACCACATTTTGTTAACCCATTCCTGTATTTTTGGGCACTTGGGTTGATTCTTTAGCTATTTTAAATATTCAATAGATTATTGTAAATGTAGTCACCCTACTATGTTTAGGGTAGTCACCCTACACTAACACTAGGTCTTATTTCTTCTGTCAGAATGTCTCTGTGTATCCCTTAATCAACTTGTGTTCATCCTTCTCTCTTCACAAAATCCACTTTTTTAGCTCCCACATATAAATAAAAACATAACAATGTTTGTCTTTCAGGGTTTGGCTTATTTCACTCACCATAATGACCTCCGGTTCCACCATGTTGCTGCAAAGGACGGGATTTCATTCTTTTTATGAGTAAATAGTATTCCATTGTGGACCACATAGTCTTTATCTTCTCATTAGTGGATGAACACGTAGGTTGATTCAAAGACTTGAAATAGCCAATTTAAAATAAATAAATAAATGGCGCTCAACATCTCAAATCATCAGAGTAATGCAAATCAAAACCACATTGAAATATCATCTTACTCAAGTGAGAATGGCTTTTATCAAAAAGTCCCAAAGCAACAGATGTGGAGAGAAAAGAGCACTCATACACTGTTGGTGGGACAGCAAACTAGTCCAACCTCTGTGGAAAGTACTATGGAGATTCCTCCAAGAACTAAACGTGGACCTACCATTTGATTCAGCAATCCCACTCCTGGATATTTACCCAAAGAGAAAAAAGACATTTTATCATAAAGATAATCGCAGCTGAATGTTTATAGCAGCACAACTCATACCGCAAAGATGTGGAATCAACCCAAGTGCCCAAAAATACAGGAATGGGTTAACAAAATGTGGTATATGTACACCATGGAATACTGCTCAGCCATAAAAAATGGTAACCTAGTATCTTTTGTAATAACCTAGGTGGAATTGGAGACTATTCTCCTAAGTGAAGTACAAGAATGGAGAAACAAACCCCACATGTACTCAATACTAAACTGGAACTTTTTCCTTTTTTTTTTTTTTTTTTGAGACAGAGTCACTATTTCACCTTCAGTAGAGTGCCATAGCGTCACAGCTCACAGCAACCCCCAACTTTTGGGCTTAAGCGATTCTCTTGCCTCCCAAGTAGCTGGGACTTCAGGCGCTTGCTACAATGCTTGGCTATTTTTTGTTGCAGTTGTCATTGTTGTTTAGCTGGCCCAAGCTGGGTTCAAACCCACCGGCCTTGGTGCCTTGGTGTATGTGGCTGGTGCTGTAACCATTATGCTATGGGCGCCGAGCCAAACTGGAACTCTTTGATCAACACTTATGTGCCCATATGGAAAGTAGGTGGGAGGAGAAGGGAATAGGTAAATTCACATCTACTGGGCACATCGCACACTTTCTGGGTGAAGGGCACACTTATAACTTTGATTAAAATATACAAAAGCAAACTAGATATACAAAAACGTATGCACCCCCCCTGATATTCTGAAGTACAAACAAAGAAGTAAAAGTAAATATAGCTGATGACTTTTTATAACTGCATCAGAAATACTGGATACCACTCAAAAGCAAATGAATGCCATAGAATGTACAGAATTTCCACCCACCCCCACCAAAATTAGGTAAAGTATGGAAAACATATGAAATAAAAATTAAAAGACAGGTATTATACATATATATTCCAGTATTTGAGTAAATGCTGGAGATGGTCCAGAGCACAAAATAGAATAGCTGAGCACTATAGTAGGTGCTTATAGTCCCAGTTACTTGGGAGGCTGACGCAGAAAGCTCTCTTGAGCCCAAGAGTTTGAGGTTGCTGTGAGCTATGATGACACCATGACACTCTACCCAGGGTGGTAGAGTGAGACTCTATTTCAAAAGAAGCAGCAGCAGCAGCAGCACAAAATAGAGCAAATGGGAGGGCAGCTATAATAAATATGCAGAAATAAATAAATAAATAAATATTATGCTGAATGTACTTCTAAGTGGAGAGAGAGCTCCCAGCAGCTGAGAGCAGACCTGCTACCTAGCTCAATTCTGAAGTTTTAAGTATTTATTCAAGTCATCAAAAGATGTATTGGGTCTTTGCGCCCAGCCCTGTCCTCTGTCCTGGATGAGGAGTATAGGGAGAAGAAGCCACCGTCCTCTCCTGGATGGAATCCTGATGGAGCAGGGAGTGAAGATGGCACAGTTAGACCAGATCAGCTGGTCTAACTTGATCAGAACTAGGTCACTCCCCTGGCGGGCTGCAGAATCTGGGGGGACCTGTGGGCATACAAGGACAGACTGAATTTAGGGAAGGGAAGAAGAGAAGGATTATCATTTCTCTCTCCTCCAAACACATGTCCTATACCAGGGGGAGCGCCACCCTGATTTCCCCATCCCTGCAGGCAAGGATGCTGGAAAGGAGTGATAGTGGTTGCTTTTTTCCCCTTATTCCACAATGATTGGGGCTTTCAGTGTTGCTCAGTGGGAAAGGAAATGTTTGCAATTTAGAGTTGCTAAATGTTCCTGTAATGACAGTCCCTTGTGAAGAAGAAATATCCCACCTAAAAATATCATTTGTGCCCCTGTTGAGATCATAAGAAGTCCCTATGGTAGAATTTGGTGTTTAAAGAACTCTCTATTTACCAAGTGGCTAGCGTGGTGACTATAGTTAACAAGGCCTCATTGGATAGTTAAAATGTCCTCAGGAGGCAGGCCAGGCATGGGGCTCATGCATGTAATCCTAGCTTCTGGGAAGCTGAGCTGGGAGGATCCTTTGAGCTCAAGAATTCCAGACCAGCCTGAGCAAGAGCAAGACCCCCTCTCTACTAAAAATAGAAAAACAAGCCCAACATAGTTGTGGGAATCTGTAGTCCCAACTACTTAGGAGGATCACTTGAACCCAGGAGTTTGAGGTTGCTGTGAGCTAGGTTGATGCCATCACACTTCTAGTCTGGGTGACAGAGTGAGAGTGTGTCTCAAAAAAGAAAAAAGTACTAAGACGATAGACCTGAAATGGATAAGTTCATTAGCCGATGTGTGGCAATCATTTAACATTAGTCAAGTTGGAACACGTTCTTCTTAGTGAAATATCACCAGAATGGAGAAGCAAGAATCCAATGTACTCAATT